AAGGAAGGAAGGAAGGAAGGAAGGAAGGGAGAAACAAAGAAAAGAATAATAATGATAATCCTGGCTATTGGCTCTTACATGTGTTATAGTCTAAAAACCTTCGGTGGTGGCTCACACCTGTAATCTCAGCACTTTGGGAGGCCAAGGTGGGCAGATCACTTGAGGTCAGGAATTTGAGACCAACCTGGGCAATATGGCGAAACTCTGTCTCTACAAAACTTTGCCAGGCATGGTGGCACACACCTGTAGTCCTAGCTACTCGGGAGGCTGAGGCACGAGAATCACTGAACCTGGAAGTTGCAGTGAGCTGAGGTCGTGCCACTGCGCACTCCAGCCTCAGCGACAGAGCGAGACTCGGTCTCAAAAATAAATAACTAATGATAATAAAACACACCTCTCCATACCGAATTTCATATAAGCTTCACAACAAGATTTCCCCTTTTTATAAAGAGGGAAACTGAGGATTCTCCGAGCTAAAGTAACTTGCCCAAGGTCACACTAAGAGTCTGTCGTACACAAATGTTTTGAATGAAGAGCTGACCAAATCCAGTCTCTGGCTCTCCTGGTTACCCAAATGAGGAAGTCCCTGTTGGATTGAAAAGTCCTGGAGCATGAGAGAGTAAACACGTGCCTGGTTGACTGGGTTCCCTCCTGGGAGGCTGCCGACCTTTGCACCAGAGACTGCCCAGATTTGAATCCTGGCTCTGATTATGAAATAGGAACACAACCATGCAGGAGAATTAAATGCAGTTTTGCCTATACAGCACCTAGAACAGCGTCCACCAGGCAGAAAGCCTCTTGCCACTGTGGGAGCTTTGTGGTCCTTATTTGAAGGCTTGGAGTGTGAGAAGAGGGAAGGTGGAAACAGGCTGCTCCACCTGCAGACGCAATAGCGTGGAGACCTCTTCCTTGGTGGGGACCTGGCCAGAGATGGGAGGGGCGATTCCAGGTTCCCTTGTTCTGGGGTTTTGCAGGGGGTGATGCTGCCCCCTCCCACCCCCTAGCCTTGATTCCTGCACTTCCCTTAACCCTGGCAAGGAGGAGGCTGCAGCGGTTAGGAAGCTGCATTCTCGTTCCCAGATCCCCACCCGGGAAGGGCTGCCTTCCCATCTCACCCACCCCGAAGGCTGACCTGGGCTTTTCACTCCTACAGCAGCAGCCGCCGCAGCAGAGGTCAGGGGACGGGGAGGGGAGTGTGGAGCGGCCAGAGCTGGCCTTTGTGTGTTCACTTGAAACCCTGGACCAGCCTCCATTTTCTGAAGGGTGGAAAGGTCTCTGGAATCTCCTCTTGCCCTGTAGAGGGAAGGGGACTTCTCTACCTTTGCCCCTCTTCACTCCATCCATACCCCCAGCCTGCCCTGGAAAGGCCTGAGGAGGGCAAAGGAGGGGCTGAATATTAGTTGAGAAGGAACCACAAATTCAGAGAAAAACAAATCAGTAAATCCACCTCCACATTTTTTTCCCCAAACTGTTGGTCACTCCAAAAGGTGAGGGGAGGCTTGCTTTTCCCCACTGGTAGCATGATGAGTTTCCTAAGCCACACTCCACTCAACAAGGCTGCCAGGTGACCAGCTCCCCCAGCACACTGGAAGCAGCCCTTGTCAGCAGCAGCTGTGCCCACCTACAGTCACTTAGTCACTGAGACAGTACCCCAAGGAACCCCTCACCAAGCCTTTAGTCTTCTCTGCCATCTGTACAGGACCCCAAAGCAGTACCATGCCGGGCTCACCATTAACTGAGGCTAAACTTTGATTTAGAAGCAGTATCTGGGCAGGTGCAGTGGCTTACACCTGTAATCCCAGCATTTGACTCAGGCGGGCAGATCTCTTGAGTCCAAAAGGTCAAGACCAGCCTGGGCAACATGCAAAACCCTGTCTCTACTAAAAGTACAAAAATTAGCTGGGCATGGTGGCACACACCTGTACTCCCAGTTACTCGGGAGGCTGAGGTGGGAGGATCTCTTGAGCCCAGGAGGCACAGGTTGCAGTGAGCCGTGATTGTATCACTCTACCCTAGCCCAGGTGACAGAGCAAGACCGTCTCAAAAAAAAAAAAAAAAAGAGAGAGAGAAAGAAAGAAAAGAAAAAGAAATAGTATCTGGCAGGGCACAGTGGCTTGAGCCTGTAATCCCAGCACTTTGGGAGGCTGAGGCGGGAAGATCAC